TTTATCTGAGAACAATTGGTCTTTGCCCAAGATTTATCTACATGGCACACAGTAATTAAAAGTACCAGACTGGTGGAACTAACCTTCTTGGATGTTTAACAGACATACTTTGAGGTCTATAATAATTTGGTCAGAGGGACATTAAGGACACTTTTTGCTCCTCGTTCTCCTAGGTCGACTAGTTCCAGGCGACTATGAGCATCTCTCAAAATGCCCTGTAATTGTGGTGGGTCCCCTGTCCTCTTGATCAAGGATGCCGAGGAGACTCCACCAGATGGACCTGAACCAGTGTCCAGTCTATAATGGGGAGGGTCAACACAGAGGAATCATTTCCTCCATAATTTCAAGCAAAGCCTACCATGGTCGAGCAGGACCTTTGACTTATCTTCACATAGATCGAACTGGTAAAAGAAAGGAGCCAGGGGCTCCTCCCAAGCCCATGTAACCCCTGAGGAACAGATCCTCAAACGACCTTAAGAGCAAAAATAAATCGGTTTTATCTGGACCAACTGTATGGCCTTAAACACACAAAAGGAAAGTATAACCAAAGATTAAATGGGCCAACATAATTTCATAAGAGTCCACATGTATAGCCAAAGGCTACACACAAGCAACAATGCCAGACAAGCGATACCTTCTTTTGAGTTGATGGCCAGGATGGCCAAAGGGATTCCCAGATAGTAACCCAGTATAGAACTGGGAAAATGAACAGCAGACTCCAAACTTATCCAAAGGAATATACACAACTGATTACCGCTAGATGAAGAAAGCTGACCCTCCTAAAACAAAGACCTCTAGATAGGCTGACTAGATTCACCAGAAGGGCAAGTAGTGGGGAATGGCTGGGGGTGCCGACAACACAGCAGACAGTAGCAGGGATACCAGAGTATAAGGGCTCTAGTGGGGGGAGGGAGGCTATGGGAGGGTGCTACCTGGGGTGGGTGCTACCTGGGGTGGGTGTATAAACAAATAAAAAAGAAAAAAAATAATTCTTTAAAGCATAAAAACTTGCTCCTTAATAATTAGTAGATGTGAAAAACGTTACCATTGAAATCTACCTGATGACTATATATCCATGCTCATATGCCAAGGAGCTCAGAAAGTAGCCGACCATGACTAGTAATAATCAGATATATAGAGATTAAAAATGCATGCACAAACATCTTAATGTCAGTTGCATTAAAAATGAATTTTTCTGTATGAAACTGTGTATTCTAAAATAAAATGGA